ATTGAAACCATCTGGTCCTGGGCTTTTTTTGGTAGGGAGATTTTTGATAACAGCTTCTAATTCTTCGTGACTAATAGGTCTATTTAGATTGTTCACCTGTTCTTGGTTAAACTTTGGTATATGGTACTTATCTAAAAAAAATGTCCATTTCTTTTACATTTTCCAACTTTGTGGCATATAAACTTTCATAGTAAGATCTAATGATTCTCTGAATTTCCTCTGTGTCTGTGGTTATGTCTCCCTTTTCATTTCTGATCCTATTAATTTGCATGTTCTCTCTCTGCCATTTGATTAATTTGGCTAGGGGTTTGTCAATCTTGTTGATTTTCTCCAAGAACCAGCTTTTTGATTCATTGATTCTTTGGATTGTTTTCTGTGTTTCTATTTTGTTGATTTCAGCCCTCAGTTTGATTATTTCCAGTCTTCTAGACCTCCTGGGTGAATCAGCTTCTTTTTTTTCTAGATCTTTCAAGTGTGCTGTTAAGTCTCCAATGTGTGCTTTCTCGGTTTTCTTTAATTGGGCACTTAGTGCTATGAACTTTCCTCTTAGCACTGCTTTCATAGTGTCCCATAGGTTTGAGTATGTTGTGTCTTTGTTTTCATTATATTCAAGGAAGACTTTAATTTCTTTCTTTATTTCTTCCTTGACCCAGGGGTGATTTAGTAGTTGACTGTCAGCTTCCATGAGTTTGTTGGCTTCCTGGGGGAAGCATTGTTGTTGAATTCTTATTTTAGTCCATGGTGATCTGACAAGACACAGGTAGTTACTAATTTTTTTTTGTATTTGTGGAAGTTTGCTTTGTTACCGAGTATGTGGTCAATTTTTGAGAAGGTTCCATGAGCTGCAGAGAAAAAGGTATATTCTTTCCTATTTGGGTGGAGTGTTCTACAGATGTCTGTTAAGTCCATTTGATTCAATACTTCCAATAAATCTCTCAATTCTCTGTTTGGTTTCTGTCTGATTGACCTGTCCATTGGTGAGAGAGGAGTGTTGAAGTCTCCTACTATTAGTGTGTGTTGTTTGATGACTGCCTTGAGTTCTAGAAGAGTTTCTTTTACATATGTGGGTGCCTTTATATTAGGAGCATAGATATTCAGGATTGAGACTTCCTCCTGATGTATTGTTCCAGTTATGAGTATGAAATGTCCATCTCCATTTCTTCTGATTGATTTTAGTTTGAAGTCGATTTTGTTAGATATTAGAATGGCCACACCTGCTTGTTTCTTAGGTCCATTTGCTTGGAAAACCTTTTCCCAACCCTTTACTCTGAGTAGGTGTCTGTCTTTGTGGTTGAGGTGTGTTTCTTGTAAACAGCAGAATGTTGGATCCTGTTTTCGTATCCAATCTCTATGTCTTGCGTCTTTATAGGTGAATTGAGTCCATTGATATTAAGTGATATTAATGACCAGTGGTTGTTGACTCCAGTCATTTTTTTTTTTAGGTAGTAGAGTGTATGTGTTTTTTTTCTTTGATTTGTGCTTGTGAATGGTCGCTAGATGTTCGAGTTATTGTAGGCCGTGTTGGGAATGTTGGATTCCTTTGGTACTGATTTTCCTTCTAATATTCTCTGTAAGGCTGGATTAGTAGCTACGTATTGTTTAAATTTGTTTTCATCATGGAATATTTTGTTTTCTCCGTTGATAGTGAACAATAGCTTGGCTGGGTATAGTAGTCTGGGTTTGCATCCATGGTCTCTTATTTTCTGCAGTACCTCTATCCAGGATCTTCTGGCTTTCATGGTTTCCATAGAGAAATCCGGTGTAAGCCTGATAGGTTTACCTTTATAAGTTACTTGACCTTTTTCCTTTGCAGCTCTTAAAATTTTTTCTTTAATATGTATGTTTCGTGTTTTGATTGTTATATGGGGAGGGGATTTTTTTTCTGATCCAGTCTATTCGGTGTTCTGTATGCTTCTTGAACCTTCATAGGAATATCGTTCTTTAGGTTGGGAAAGTTTTCTTCTATAATTTTGTTGAATATATTTTCTGGGTCTTTGATCTGCAGTTCTTCTCCTTCTTCAATCCCTATTATTCTTAGATTTGGTTTTTTTATTGTGTCCCAGATTTCCTGAATGTTTTGTGTAGAGAATTTGTTGGATTTGCCGTTTTCTTTGACCAGAGCATTTATTTTCTCTATGGTATATTCAGAATCTGAGATTCGTTCTTCTATCTCTTGTATTCTATTGGTTATGCTTGATTCTGTAGTCTCCGTTCGTTTACCTAGGTTTTCCATATCCAGCCGGTTCTTGTTTTGTGTTTTCTTCATTGCCTCCATTTCAGTTTTCAATTCTTGGACTGTTTCCTTTACTTGTTTGCTTGTTTTTTCTTGGTTTCTCAGGGTCTCATTCACGGATTTACTTATTTCTTCAACCTTTTTGTTATATTTCTCATCAAATTCTATACTCATTTCTTCAAACTTTTTGTTATATTTCTCATCCAATTCTTTAAGGGAGTTATTCATATCCTGTTTAAGGGACTCTATTGCTTTCATAATGGCACTTTTTTCCACTTCTTCTGGGTTAAGGTGTTCAAGTCCTTCTATTGTAGGGTCCTTGGGATCTGGTGTTTTCATGTTGTTTTTCAGATTGTTGGATGAGGTCCTGCCTTGGCGTCTGCCCATCTCTTCGTTCAAATGTTCTCTATTGGAACTTCTGTTACCGGATCAGGTTCCCTTCTTGGGCAGGGACTTCACTGACAGAATGCCCACCTTTCCTCAGGCAGGCTATTGAAGCACAGGCACTCCCTCTTTCCGGGATGTGCTTACAATGCAGGCCCAGCGTGCAAGGCAGCTGAGCTGGGGAAATTTTATGGCCCCAGGGGGAAGGGAGAAATATAGGAATTCATACCTGGATGGGAGCTGGGAAGGCAGGTGGGAGGGGGTAGCCAGCACTGCAGGGCGACCTGGGCATCTATGGGGTCGGGGAACGCCCAAGCTCCTCCTCTCCAGGACCCTGCCCCGGCCTGAAGGAAACTTATCCCTCTGATGGCCCTCTGCTAGAAGTCAGGGCCTCTGCTGGTCAGGAATGTCCTGTTGACTTGTCTTTGAAGCTACTTTGGCCCTGGCTTCTTTTATCACTGATTCCTATCTGACATTAGAAGAGAGGTTTTATTCTATCACATATATTTCTTTGAGAAAGCCTGGGAGCTGTTTTGGAATATTAATTTAAGATGTGCTACATTTGTTTATGTTGTGGGACATTTTTCTTAATGATGCAAAGAAGTGTTGCATTCTTTTTATTGTTGCTTTTCTTTAACTCTGTGAAACAGTATTTCTTTGCCTGTCTAAAATACCTGATTGGTCTACTAAAGAGCTGAATGGTCAATAGTAAGGCAGGGTAAAGGATAGGAGGGGCTGGCAGACAAAGCAAATAAACAGAAGAAGAAAGAGAGAGAAAGGAAGACCAAGGAGCAAGAGAACAAGGAGGGGATGATGCTTGTGGCCTGCCACTCAGTCACACAGCCAGTCATGGAGTAAGAGTAAAAGTAAGACATACAGAAGTGAAAAATAAGAAAAATCCCAGAGGCAAAAAGGAGATGAGATAATTTAAGTTAAGAAAAATTGGCTAGAAATAAGCTAAACTAAAGCTAAGCATTCACAAGAAAGAATTAAGCTTCCGTGAGTATATTTATTTTGCAGCTGAATGGCGGGCCTCCTTAATGAGGCAAAGAGTAATGAGTAAAAAACAACTGACAATGGGAAGCAGTGGAGCTTAATGACCATGGCTTTGACGCTGTGATCCAAAGCGATATCTTTTCCCTTTATGTTGTTTCCCTAGGTGGTCAACACGGCAAGGAGAATGTAAAACTAACAAAGGCAAAATAATGAACTAAACTCTATGACAACATCATGATATCTATGATTTTTAAAGCAAGTACACACTGCTTTTCTCAATGATGAACCTCAGTAAGCAGGAAATTATACAAATTGGTAGCCAAAGCACCTTTGGCTCTAGTAAGGTTCTCTTATCCAGAATAAGAGCTGTGCTTGGTATATTGCTATGTGCTCATTCTGTTGATAATCCTCTGTTATGTGCCATGGTCCATCTGGGCTTTACAAGTGCCAAGCTAATGAATGAAATGGGAGCATGATGAGAAGCACGTCCCATGCTCTATCTTTTATAAAAGTTTATGGATAGCAATAATTCTGACATTATCACATGAATGTTATTTATTCATATCATTCACATTTTAGTGGAGATGTTATGCCAGTTTTAAAGTACTCTAGCTGTTCTCATCTCAGTAGCTCCTACTCTGCTGATGGGGGAGCATCTTGAGTATTTAAATGTTGAGAATACATATTACAGTTATATAGTCAGTAAGAGAGCAGGTAGATCATAAATCCCATTGGCCTACTGTGAAATGGACATAAATTATGACGCTTATTAAAATATGATTTTCGTGTACATTTGATCTGTTACAGGATTTCTCATAACATTTTGGATTGCAGTGAGTGAGTGTTAACTCTGTTCCTAAAATCAATGCTTTTCAAAAAATTGATAGGGATTCATTTTCTCAGCATATGCTTATCAAAGAATATAGTTTTGGGTCAGCTTCATGTAGATTTTCTTTACTTCTTTGTCTCAGAAACAAATCTTGAATGCTTTATTTAGAAGTTTTTAAGGGATTGTTTTTCCTGGTAATTCATCCGTTTTTGACCAATTCACTCTTACATACAGTAATAGCCATGTGTTTTGGTTTAAATGAGAATTGCCCCATATAGGTTTGTGTATTTGAACACTTGGTCCCAGCTAGTGGTATCATATGAGATGGTTATAGAGTCTGTCAGCAAAGGTGGTGCCTTGCTGGAGAAAGTATACCACTGGAAGTAGGCTCTGAGCTTTTGTAGTCTTATCATACTTCATTTTCTCTGCTTGTCTCTCATCTATCTATCTATCTATCTATCTATCTATCTATCTATCTATCTATCTTCTTCTTCATCATCATCTATATATCATTTTTCTCTCTATATGTACATATATATATATAATCTATCCCTATCTTTATCTCTATATCATCTCCCTCTCTCTATCTCCTGTATGAGAATAAAAATATCAGCCAGCTCCCTGATATGCATGACTTCAACAACATGGATGAAATCCATCTCTCAGAAACCACGTGCTAAAATAAACTTTTCTTCTTTAAGTTGTTTTGTCAGAGAATTTTCAAATAGCAACAGAAAAATAACAAATACAGTGTGATAACTGATAGGGGGCTGTCACTACCATTGAACTGGCTAACAATGTCTACTTCTCACTCACACTTAACTTTTTGAGATTATACATAAATAGCAATTTTCAAAAAAATATTTTTTCCAATTAAAATATAATTATTCAATTTTGCCTTTCACTATTCTCTCTCCATTTTATCTCCAGGACTACACTCTCTTTCCCTATTTGAAATTAATGAACCTATATATATATGTAAGTAGTCACACATGCATATGCATGCACACACACATACACTTTTCATGCTCTCAGAAATTATAAGTTACCTATAGTTCTTTGAAGAGAGTCAAGTCCCCAAGAACTCTCTTTGTTCATTTTTTACTGCTTGTTGGTGCCATGCCATTGTTATTCATGTCTTGCTTAAGTATGCTGATGAGACTTTACAGGTGTGTCTTCTCTGAATATGCTAGGAAATGAAATGTCACAGTTAACCTTCTGCTCTTCTACTTCTTAAAATCTTACTTGCCCTTCCCAGTGTGATCCCTGAGTATTAGGTACAGGAATCATATTGTAGTGTATCAATTGAGGGTGGGCATTAACTGGTCATGCGTCCCTGCATTTTGTTTTGTTTTTCTGTAATAACTTTCCTTCCACTGTTGCAAGGAAATATTTCTTTGACAGAGGTGAGCCTTATCTATGGGTTCAAAAATAACTAGTTAGTGACTATTTTGGTTTAATTAAATGGTAGAAGTAGTGCTCTGTAGTGAGTCTTTCCTTGTAATAACAACCACCAAATAAAGACAGAAGGACCTATTGATAATTATGAAATCTTGGCCTTAACTAGGCATCTTTCCAAGTTACTCTTGTAACTTGAATTAGCATGTCTTTATTAATGTGCATTCTGCCATATAGTTCAGTTACCTCTGCTCTGTAACACATATCTGACCTTTGCAGTATCTCCCAGGCATCTGGACACCTTTCTTTTTCACAAAGTTCCTCTCTTCCCCACAAATCCCACCAGCTCTTTCCTGTCTACCTTTTGGCCGTTCTTATATATAATACGCTTCTTATTAAGCTTATTATAATGACATATCTTAATATAGTGTAAACAAATGTCCCACAACAAGGCCAATTCCAGAACAGTGAAATCGTTCCTGGTACCAAAAACCTAGGCAATATCCCAGAAATCTTGGATATGCAATATTTTTTGTAACTTTTTGTCTAGATTGTAATACTTTATATTGACCATCTTTATATTTTGTGTCTTGTCTGAATTCCTAACTCTCCTTCTTTGTTTCCCTTTAAGAAAATTATGTTTCTCTTACTTCTAAATTTTAAGTCTGTCAGCTGGCTGTTGAGTTTGTAGGTTTCTCTTATATAGGTGCTGTAAGAAGTTCAGTTCCATTTTTATCTCTTACTATGAGGTTTCTTCTACGAAAACGACAAGTAAGACTCAGCTTTTCAAGAAGTTGTGTGTGTTTGTGTGTGTGTGTGCTTCTGAAGTGTGTGTGTGCTTCTGAAGTGTGTGTGTATGTGTTTGCCTTAAATAAAGAATAGTTGAGGAACTCCTCATATTCTTTTAGCTACCCATCTACTAAATATTAAGATTTGAGAGATCTTAATATCCATTCAATAAAATTCAGTAGGTTTATTCTATGCTAAATAATAGGCATATCATAGCATTAAAAAATTGTCTAAGGCTTAATTTTGTTCTTCCATGAGTGCTTTAATAACATAATTCTCTACTTTCTTATTGTCAAGCATTATTTCTGTGATTGTTCTTAAATTTTTTTAAAGTTTTTTGAGACAGGGTTTCTCTGTGTAACAGCCCTAGCTTTCCTGGAAGTAGCTCTTGTAGGCCAGGCTGGCCTAAAGCTCAAAGAAATCTGTCTACCTCTGCCTCCTAAGAGCTGGGTTTAAAGGCGTGCGTCACCAGCACCTGGCTTGTTCTTCAAAGTTTTATGAGCCATGGCACAAGTATATTACAGAATGACCTTGGTTTTGTGGTATTATATATGGTTGAAAAATATTGATTCTTCATTTAATTTTATATTTTTTTCTTTTATGTGGTATACTCAGGATGAATGACTTGTTCACTTCCTCAATATTCATGATAAGCAGGCCTCAGAGAATATTTCATATTTTGTTCTCTTCTTTCATAAACAGATGAAGACATTGCTCTTTGAATTCATGTAGATTTTATCTTAATTATTTGCTTGGTGGAGAGAAGATACAGTCTGATTCCAAGAAAACAAGTTCCACCTAATAAGAAATCTTTTTGAGGCTTTTGCATACATCTTACAATAATCAGATTGCTACATTCCAACAGGTGATGGTAATTAGATAAATTACCACACACATCTATCATAATTGAGCAGCTTTAGCTGGAAATAATTTGGTGCTTATGGTTTTATGATGCCTGCCCTTTTCTTTCTCCAAATGTCAGAGACATTGAATAGAACAGCTATATTTTCCATGAGTGTTCCAGCTCAGTGTCTCACAGATAAATAACTAATAGCTACATCAGTATGATAAGAAACGAGCAATAATGTAGCTCTTCCGTCAATAAAAAATTTAACAAATGAATTCAATCTGTACAATATTCTATGGAGCAAACTTTCAACGTATCCAGGACCACAAATTCACTCATGTTCTATTGTCTTTTTTAATTAAATTTATACACCAGCCTCAGTTTCAAATACTGTTCTGGATATATCTGTGAGGGAATTTTTACATTAACATTTGCATATGTTGACTTTGAATAGAGCACATTACCCTGTAATATGTGGGTGAACCTCATTCGATCATTTGAAAATCTGAATTGTTCAAATGAAAACACTGATCTTAACTGAGAAAGTGATTTTATACACACACACATGCACACAAACACAGACACACAATACCATACAAGCATGCTTGTGCAAGTGTGCATAATAATGAAGAACTAATACTTGAACATCATTTGGGTACTGATTGGCATGAATACTGACCTAATATATAAGTTTTATCTGTCAAAATGTGAACTAAGAAGGAATGGAAAATATATAATATTTGTTATTCCTGAGTTTCAAAAATTTCAAGTACTTATGAAAAAAATTAACACAGAAACATTGCATTTTAAAGGAAAATTCTGTACTATTAATTCTAATATACTACATCTCCAAAAAATGAACTGAAATTAAAAGTGACTTATTGTGGTCACAACATGCCTGTAAAAATAAAAGAAAGAGGAAGCTGGAAGGCATCTTTAAACTGAAAGTTTTTGTCTATGAATCAGTTTTCAAAGTCACATTGATTTATAGCTAGAACATTTTAAAAGGTACAGTGAGGAGTGCTCAACAGCTAATTGAAACAAACCAACACACATAAAACACATCCAAAGTTACTTAGATAGGAGAATTGAAACTTTAGTATGCAAATTATTCTTAAACAGATTCGGGTCAAGATCCTGACAAAAGAGAAAAGAACTCTGTGCAGAGCAATGCACAGCACACATAATGGTCTAGAAAAACACGCGTCTTAACTAGGACTGATTTTAAACTTTTTGCAAAAGTAATTTTTTCTGCCTCATAAAATTCTTTGATTTCATTGCACTGTAATTATAAAATAATTTCTATGATTACTTCAGCTTGTAACAAGTTGACCCACAAAGTCTGCCAGTAAGTATACACATACTCGCTCTTTCTGTCAGGAAAGAAGAACTAGATTTTCAAAAGCTTTGACCTATTCTGTTCTTATATCTTTATTTTTATTTGATTGCAAAAAAATATCATATTTTATTAATATATAATTACTTTTTTAAATGATGAATTTAATCCATTTATTATTTATTCTATTTATTTTTAATTTAAATTGTTTATTTTATAACTATTACAGTATCCATTATGCATTTTGTAGTAGCACTTTTTAATTATATTTTGAGTTTTTGGTTGTTGTTGCTTTGATTTTTATGTATTTTAAATTAAAATAAAATTATATTACTTTTCCCATTCTCTTGCCCTTCACAATTTCTCTCCCTCTGACTCTTTCCATGCCCCCCTACTCCCAATTACTGGCCTTTTTTCTTTGATTAGCAAAGCTAAAGGTATTTCATATGTATACGTACATACATGCATACAAACATAAATACATACATTGATATAGATATATATGTACACATCAGCAACCTGTTGAGTCATTTTTTGTTGTCTCTACTCAATAACTAATTAGGATGATCAGCCCTAGCAAAGGATAATTCTCCATTTCATAGCTGCCCTTAATTGCCTGTATTTCTTTGTCTAAGGGTATGACACTGTGTAATCTCCAGACTTCCATGATAGTATGTCTGTTGGTATTATTATTTTCCAGACCCTGTTCATGCAGCCATTTCCAGGAGTGACTGTTTTACAGCAGACTACCTGTTTTTTTTTTTCAGCTCTTTCATTCTTTTTGTCTCTTCTTCTGTGCTCTTTCTTGAACCACAAATGCAGTAGCTGTGGTGTTGATGTAGTCTCTTGAGCTGAGCCTCCCATGAGGCTCCCTCTCTGCATTTTGTTTAGGTGTGATCTTTCTATGCTATAAAGAGAAGCTTCTTTGATAAGGGGCGATAGCTGTATATATTTATAGGTATAAGAGTAAGATTTAGACTGTAGTTAGAAATTATTCTGACCTACAAATTTGGCAGTGGTAGATTCTCTTCTAAAATTCATGACCACACAATCCCCAGGAAATTGGCTAGTTTTCTATTATATCAGGCTTGACTTCCATTTGGTTAGTAAAATTAAGTTTGGTTAGACAACTCTTGGTTACCACCAACATATGAGTGTTACTGGTAACACCTTCACGGATAGCTTACCTTGTTAACAATTGTTATGGTTCATTGGTGTTGCTTCTGAGTTATTGATTGCTTCCTTCTCTTTGATGCTTGCATAGTACCTTTTGGTACCATGGACGCTACAATTTAGGAAGGAAACTTTAAGGATATATCCAACTCAAGTAACCTAATAAGAAACTGGTATCCCAATATGTTGTGTCTTAAGAAATAGGGCTTAACTTTTACTTTAGAGACACATCCAAGGACCACATTCATAGTTTACATTGCTTTGGAAGTCTCTTGGACTAGACTGAAAAAACTAGAAAGTTTCTTGGACCTAAAACTAGAATTCTTGTTAGTGTATTGTTATTGTGAGTAATATTGTCAGATCAAGTGATGTAAATATGCATACACTTATATATTTTTTGTTACATTTCTGCTAGATAACTAGAATCTGACCTGTCATATACCAAGAAATTGACCAGTTTAGTCTTACAAAAGTAATCATGGCTATTTAGTTGTGGGAATAAAAAAAATGATTAATTGTCTTAACTTTCTTTCTTAAGAAAGACTTGGACAGAATGGCTCAGGTACATATAATATGCTTTAAAAACTCAACAAAAAGAATGGAAATGCTCAAGAATATGAAATATTACAGGTAAGGGTCTAATGTCTAATAAGGCAGTTTGAAAGAAGATAGATTCCAGTGTATCAGCATTTTCAAACCATTGCATACCAGCTCCCAGGGAGTGTGGCTTGGGAAAAAAATTGCCTTGGGAGAGACAGTAGTCATCAAGTGTAGCTAATTATTTTGCAGTGCTTGGTTAAGAGAAAGTCGGTATGACTCCGAATAGATAATGTTAATATCTAGAATTAATTCTAGGAGTTGTATGTACTCACAATTTAAATAGATTCTGAGTGGTATGAAAAACTACAAATGGGATTCCTTTTCATTATACTTGTATTGTGTTTTCTAATGACATAATTCTGACAAAACCCTTCACTTTAACTCTGACCTTTAAAAGCAAATGAGATGAAAACTATAGTTTCACGTTTGCCTACATTTAATAGTCTAAAAAAATGTCCATTGAAGAAAAACAGAATCTTACTCTAGTGTGATTTTATTGAAGTTAAACTAAAACACATTTTAAAATAGAAATTAAGCTTAAGTATTTTTACATATCCCAAATAACTTGTACTGATCATTTAATATGAAGGCCTATTGTCAGCATATCTTAGTAAGTTGGAAATACAAAGTTTTTTCTGTACTACAAAAGTCTTTGTTCAAGTACATGACACAAGAGTATTAAGAGAGGGTGTGAGTGTGGACTGCTCATACAGCCGGGTTCTCATTCTTCACACACAGCGTTAGTAATGAGGGTGTCTGTTTTGGTTAGCAAAATGTTTAGCAACATACACACTCCTTAGTTAATTGATTTCACTTGAAATTATAATTTCTGTAACGTTAAATATGTACATACCATAGGCCCATATAAATTCCTTATGCAAAATTCAAAGATAAGAATGACATATTTTTAAAAATCACAGGACAGAATCTGTAAAGTTTTTATATTAAAATTATTTAAACTACAAAGTTGTCCATGTATTCAAGAAACTATAAAGAGGGGCAATTTCTATATTCTTGATATGTCTGATTTGTTCAATATTTTCTATTTTTTAAAAAGATTTCTTTTCTATTTTATTTATTTTTTGCCCATATTGATTTGTACATCGTGTGTGTATGCAAGTGCCTAAAGAAATGAGAACAGGGTGTCATTTCATCTCGATCTGGATTACATACTGTTTTATAAAGTGAGTACTGGGAAGAAATCTGGAGCCTTCTGGAATAGCAGAAAACACTCTTAACCTCTGGAGCAATGTTTCATCCCATTGGCATATCTCTTGAGAATCTAGTACCCAATATAGACTAATGGAGGAAGGTTTCTAGGGAGGCTTTCCAAGTTTTGTTGCACATCAATCCTTCATTGTGGCTTTTAAAGGCCATAGAAAACCCTATTTAACTTATTTACCTGGGTAAGGATCACAGTCCAAAAGTGTACCAAAGAACTTGATAAGAGTCAGAAAGCGCAGGGGAAACCAGCATGCCATCGGGGTTGGCTCACGTGTCTCTTAAAACACCTTGTCCCTAATGAATAAGAAAGATAAGAATCTAAGTTTTGCAACTTCTTATATTTAAGAGGTGTACAAAGAGAAACAGGTGATATTGATGGTTGACGGAGACAGACATTTAGATTAAAACAGTTTTCCTTAGAATCCATTATCAGTTGATACCAATGTTGCACTTCTGAGGATTCCTGTTTTATTTCAGCCTTTTTAGTGGGATTTTGAAACTCCAGGCTCTATGCTATGAAAGTTGTCACGTAGATTATTGACCCCAGCAAAGGTTGTCTGTAAACATTCTATATAGCTCTGCCATCCTAATAGAAACACAAAAAAGCATAGCATAGAAAATTCTCAGTGCCTGTTCTCTGTTTAAGCAACCACAGTAGTACATGTGCTGTTCAGCAAGTGCCATTCCTAAGTACCTAAAAAAATAACTTCTGGAAATTTGGTAACTTTCCACAGAAATGTTTATGAGTATCTGCTGCTTTTCTTAACTGACTTCACATTACACCATTTCTTCTTTCATTATATTTGACTTCATCTGACCTCGCCCCTAAGGCAGAGGATCAGCCTGACCTATTTCTTTTAATTGCCATTTGGACAGGGGGGGCACTTTCCGTCTTAAAAGCAACAATTTTCTAACCAAGAACTTTTCACTAAGATACTTTCTGAGAATTAAACAGTTGAAGTGAGTTGGCTTAGTAATGAGTTCCATTAAACAAATTCTAATAATAAAAACACAGGAAGGTTTTAAAGAAGGACTTTAGTCATTTATCACTACCTAAAGTTTTAATAAAGCTAATTAAAATCCTTTCTCATTTCCACAGAAGGGAATAGTTTCAATCAAGGCTCTAATAATGCTTTCAAAATCTATTAATATATAAAGGTGCTTTTATACCAAGTATCAATTTTCAGCTTGATTTAGCTACCAAAAGAGTATAATTTTAGAATAAAATATTAAATTTCATCACATGAGTTATACCAGCAGCATCTACACATTGCTTGCTGCTTTTAGATTAAAGTGTATTTAAATATTTATATTGGAAATACTCAGAACTCTTAGCAACATTTGGGGAATGATCTGCTCATCCATTTGGCTGGAGGCATGCCACCTGTTACTGTATGTACAACCTTTTAGTGGTTATTATGTCACAGTTACAGGATCTTGAATATAAAGCAAGGTAAGTGCTGTAAGGAAGAGAAGCAACAGTTGCTTCCTATTTTGGCAGTCCATTGGTTCAATAGTCACTGCCCTCCGATCCTCATTTAATGAGAAGACATTTTGTCGATTGAACATAAATAAATATTCAGTGTAGAATATTCTTTCTTGGTGCTTCAGTTTCTAACCTCTGGAATTCTTGTCTCTCAAGGAATGTGAAGAAGTTTGATGGCTCCATGGTATTTGACTTAATATTAACATTCTCTCAGGCTATTTTTTTCTAATATTGAACTGAATATTTCTTGAAAGTGACTATATTTCCCTTTTCTACCCTTAGTGCTGCACTCTAGGGCACTCATTTAAAATGTATATAACAAATGGCACCACTCAAGGTGCCATACAAAGACCAATTCCAAATAATGACAGAACATTGTCAGGTGATGTACCTTCAAATATTTAAGGATATATACACTTTTAATGCTGTTTAATTATTATCAAATATTTTATGTATTTTACAAAATAAATAATGATACAGTTCTTTCACTTATGTTCCTTTTTAATCTTTGTTTCTACTCTAGTTAAAACTTTCTACTTCTCTGTGTAGGTATTTAAACTGCATGTCAATTGTCCATTTAGCAAAGATAATATCACACACAATGCAAAAATAATTTATATCTTATTAATATCTGCTAATCATATTTGTTAAGTTCAAACAAGACTATAATTATTCGCATTTAAAAACCTTTATACAAGTATTTTGTTGGCTAATTTATGTCTGCTTGACACAAGCTAGAGCTATTTGGGATGAAAGATAGTCAATTAAGAAAATGCTTCCCCTCCCATACTGGCCTCAGAAAAAACTTGCAGGAATTTTTTAACCAGTGATTGATGTAAAAGTACCCAACTAAACATGGCAGTGCCATCCTGGGGTAGGTGGTCATGGAAAGGTATAAAAAAGCAGGCTGAGGAATTCATGAGTGGTAAGCTACTAAGCAACATTCCTCCATGACCTCCAGATCAGTTTGTGCCTCCGGGTTCTTGTCCGGATTAAGTTTCTTGCCTTGATTTCACTCAACTGATCGACTGTTACCTGAAAGTATAAGATGAAGTTAGACTTCTGCACTCTCAAAATTCATAGACTTTTAGAATTTCTTGGAAAGCCAACTCTGAATGCTTTCTTTCTTTCTTTCCTCCTTTTTTTGGAAATAGAATAAATCAAGGAAGAACTAAAGTAAACTATAGTAAACAAAAACATAATTCCTTCAATTCAGCTTTGTTTATCAAGATTTTTAAAATGAAATATTGTCATTAAAATAACACTGGGTACCTTTGATAGTTTATGTACACCCAAATTAATTGCTAAAAGGAGTTTTGTGTTGACTTCAAAAAAAGTTTATGAGCAAAGCTGTTTATGCCCCCCCCACGATGTTCTTTTTTAATTGTAACGCTTGGAGTGGAGAACACTGGCAGCTCACTTGCCTTCCTATATCTGACTTTATTCTCAGTACTCAGGAAAAAAGTGCATACAGTCTTTGCCATGAACACTAAGTATTTAGGAACAAAACAAAAAATTATTCCTTTTCAGAATACTGAGAATTTTTTCTAATACAATTACATATTTTTGACTAGGTGTTTAATGTCTAAATGTTTGCTTTTAATTCAGTTAATTTCTCAAATGTCATACTTTCAGCCTCTCCTTCAAATTATCCTTAAACTAGGCTTTATGGAAAGGTTATTGATAATGATTATAAATTTTAAGAGTGCCTTAGTGATGGGATTTACTCCAGTTGCCCATCACCATGGGAGTTCTATATCTGGAAAGACGGAAGCAGTAATTAAGAGCACAAAGTCCTTCAGGGTTTCTGCTAAGTCCAACTTGGGCTTGATGGGGATTAATGCAGATTCCTGCAGAAACACCTAGACTCATAACGCATTCAGTTAGGTAGCTAGTGCTAAAATACTGCAGAAAATCCTCAGACAATACTGAAAGGAAAATGCATTACTTCTTACATACAGATCGGGAGAAATAAACACTATTCTTTTAGTACGCATTCAGAATTTCTGGCTAAATTTATGACGACTTTCCAGGAAAGAACTTAGAATTTGTGTAGAAGGGTAATATATTCTACATGATTCATAGGAAGGAGATTGTGCTGTGTGCCTGTAGTACAAACACTTGCCCATGATGTTGCATGACCACTGACACTAATTATCAATATTCACATGTGCACTTGGCATTTTTCCTAATAAATGTCGACTCAACTTGTCAATGAAGATACCAGTGTCATGCTAAGTACTGATTGTATTCCTCAGTACATCCAAACCTTTGACAGATAGTATTCTTAACTGGCTTTCATCCTGATTCAATCATATGTTTTCACTTTCTCTTTATGAAACTGAGACTCAAGGATTCCAAAGTTTCCATATTTGTTCTTAGGTAAGTGAAATCGCAAACACTCTGAAAAAGTTATATAACATGATAAAGGGAAATGTTGGATGAAGATGAAATTAAGTGTGCTACTGTCCAGATATTAATGCAAGGATATTGTTTTTTTAAATAAACTCCATCTAATCAGAAAGTTTCTTTTAAGGCTGAAGAATCAATAAGAGAGTTAAGGCCACTGTGGCCACATGCTGACAAATGTTTCCTAGTTTAATATTGTCTTTAAGAGTGGAGCATCTCCATGTGCCAGAGAATTCTAGAAGCTTATATATACCCAAGGTGGCAAAAAAGCTACTTTGTCCCTGAACTGCACTCTATCAGGCACTTTAATTTTACTTCACAGAATCTATTTTAGAATTCAAATCTCTAGACATCTAAGGTTTAAAAAAGTCACTCAACAGTGGCAGGTTCTTACAGCAACAATAGACAAAATATACATTTTGACCTCAGAAGACAGACACTTCTCTTCATGTCTGTGGCTGCCAGCTTTCCATTTTCTTAATGAAAAATGAGAATACTCAAACAATAGGAAAAAGGTTTACCTTGGCTCCCCAGTGTCTATGTCTTCCCTCTGACGTCCATTCACCCACTGCTTTAAGGCCATTAGCAAAGCAGCTCTTCATGTGGAGCACAGGTAGGGCAGCAACATTTGTTCTTTAATGGAAAGGTGTGAAAGAAGGTGAAGAGGAGGAGGTCACAGTTCCACTATTCCCTTCAAGGCTTCATCCCCAGGAACAGGATGTTCTTCCAGGTCTTAACTATTTAAGTTTCTACTATCTCAAGATAGGGTTTCTTATTAGAAACTTATCCTTTAATGCATGACAAAAAATACCTCTTTTTTATGCTTATGTTACATGAGACATTCTGAACTATCTGTGTTTCTTTACCAAAATTCATTCTCTGTGCTATATTATTTTTTTCAGTAATTTGGCATTGCTTTGTAATGCCCTCAAATTTATCCCTCTCTGAATAGCAGGCATCAGTACAATCTGTTTGCTTGTTCCCTGATTTGTTTGAAAAGATTTGGGTTTTAGTAGTTTTTTATGAGAGTACTTAGGAACAAACACAACTAAAAATTCTTAAACCTAATACCAATTCATCTGTGAAAATTACATTCTTACCTAGAAATTCTTCCTGGATAACTGATCTAGAAGGGAATTTGACCTTATTTAATTTTTCAGCTATGACATTATAAATACCTTTTCTAAGGTCCTCCAGACTAAAGAATAGCTAAGGAACAAGTTTCCTTGACTCTTGTTCTTTTGGTTCTCAGTTAGACCTGCCTGTGTAAGGATTTACAGAATGGTTTTGGTTCTCCACTGGGAATAGCAGACATATGTCAGATGTAGAAGCCACTAAAGATACATGAGCATGAGCTGTGGACAAGCATTTCATTCTTACTAGAATCTAAGAAAGCCAGTGGAAGCTTGTGTCAAAAGAGTCTTAAAATTTGAAAATATCTCCAGCTAAACTCAGTGCTTTTGCATCTCATGCTAAATGACATTTCCATAAATTAAGAAATAATTTATCTTATTATTGAATTCTAATCCTATGTCATTCAATATCATCTTAGACTGTTTTTTATTTTAAACCAATTCAAATATCTGTATCTAATATTTACTTATTTATTATAGATAAGGTGACTTAAGTAACTCATGATTCAAAAACCGAATGTCTTGAAAAAGCCTATATCAATTTAGACCACATCAGGCATTCTTTTTTTTCTCTAAGATTAATTTCTTTCTCAACTGTCTATTCTCTGACCCAAGCCCTATTTCCAAAAGTATCCCCTATCAATCAATTTAAGTGTTGCCTGTCTTGACAATCAGTACATGCGTCCTAACTGTCTTTAATTACTGAGTCTTCATACATTCCAATCACAGGTCAGTACCAAGCCAGCTGAAAACTGCACTAGAGTCTTGTCTCCTTCTCGTGGAACTGTAATCATCATCACACTCGCCTGTTTACAATAGACTTACTTTCTTATTGTTATAATTTAGATGTTTTTACTCAGTTGTTACTTTCTAGAAGAATCATCTCAAAAAGGTTGTAAGGTTAAAATGTGTTAAAGACATAGAGAAAACAAAAATACTTAACATGATATCAAGTTATAAATCATATTAAACTCTTCACATCATATTAGGTTAAGTATGTTGAAATAATATTGTATCAAGCTAAAGAAACAGTATCAAATATGACTGTACCTATTTCAATAATTAGTTGAATAGTTATAGGCAAAAAATCAATTCCTGCAAATGCCTTTTATTTCCTGGCAGAAATGAACTAGAAAAAATTGCATATAGAATAATTATACATAATCTAACAGAAAATGTTCTATAAATGGTTAAAATACATATCATCAGAGTAGAAACTGTGCCCTTTGCATTATAAAATTTGCTATGAATTTCTGGTTTTGAACCCACAAATGTTTCCCCAAGAAGTAATAATGAAACATGAATAAAAGCACATTTTTATTCCCAGGAATAAATGTCTCTTTGGATTTGGCAGATGGTCCCTGAACAAGTCTGAGCAATTATTTGGGATCATTAACTCTGAATTAGTTAAGAATTGGTAAAGTCTGCATGAGAGAAACTATACTCACCTTACAAAGCAATAGAAGCAAATTCCTTGAGAAAAGGAAAATAGGAAAATAGAACAGGGAGCATTCTTAAATGATTTATGCTTTTCTTGTCTATATATGGATCAATAATCTGTCTATATATCATCTATGCATCTACCTATTTATCGATCAATAATCGGTCTATCATCTATCTGCCACATATCTTCTATCTATCATCCATCCTTTTATCAGCAAATTTTTAATTTTATTTTTTAAAAAACAATCTTTTCTCATTTTATATCCCAACCCCAGTACCCACTATCTCACTTCTTCCAAGTTCTCCCTACCCCACGCCATCCACTCCTCAGAGAGGGTAAGGTTTTCCATGGGAAATCAATAATGTCTGAGGTATCACTTTGAGGCAGGACCAAGGCCCTTCCCCAAAATATCTAGGCTCAGCAAGGTATTTCTCCATAGAGTCTGGACTCCAAAAATTCAGTTAATGCACTAGGGATAAATCCTTGTCCCACTGCCAATGACCCCACAACAGCCAAAGTCACGCACGTGTCACCCATATTCAGAAAGCCTAATTTGGTCCTATGTAGGTTCCCCTGCTGTTATCCTGGTGTCAGTGAGCTCTCACTAGCTCAGGTCAGTATTTCTGTGGGTATCCCCATCATGGGAATATGAACCCTTTGCTCATATCATCGCTCTTCCCTCTCTACAACTGGTCCCTGGGAGCCCATCCCAGTGCTTTGCTGTGAATGTCTGCATCAGCTTCCATCAGTTGCTGGATGTAGGTTCTATGATAACAATTAAGATAGTCTTCAATCTATTTACAGGGGAAGGCCAGTTTAGGCACCCTCTCCACTACTGCTTAGGGTGTTAGCTGGGGTCATCCTTATGGATTCTTGGACATTTCCCTAGTGCCAGGTTTCTTTCCAGCCCCGTAATGACTCCCTTAATCAAAATATCTCTTTCCTTGCTCTCCCTCTTTGTACCTTCCCCCATCTCAAACATCCTATTTCCTCGTGTTCCCTCCACCCTTCCCTTGTCTCCTCTCCCTCCCTTCTCCATCTTACACTCCCAGTTTTCTCAGGAGAACTTGTCTATTTCTCTACCAAAGGGAATCCATGTACATCTCTTTTAGTACTCGCCTTGTTATCTAACTTCTCTGGAGTCGTGAATTATAGGCTGGCTTATCCTTTGCCTTACTACTAATATCCACCTATGAGTGTGTATGTACAGTGTTTGTCTTTCTGTGTCTCGGTTACCTCACAAAGGGAGGCAACTCGTTTTATAAAGGGAAATCTCCGGGTATTTTAGCATAGTTTGTTGATACTTCAGTGTGTATTTTGACAATAAACATAATGAAGTCTCCTAGGATCTTGTTGATGCTCTAGAAATTACCTGAGACTGTCCAAAGACCCTTAGGGACTTGCTATAATGTACAGAGTTTTAAGCACTTTTGTCTTTGTGGGATTAATTTATTGTATAAAGTTTCACATTATTAATTGTATCATTTCCTATCAAATCATTAATAAATGAATGAACAAAATACTCACCTTTGTATCTATCTAGAAACATACAGGTATGGAAGATTGTATCATTTCATTTTAATACCCAGGTATACATGCTAGAAGAGAATCATTACATTTGTAAAGTTTATTATACTCTGTATCCAGTAAACAAAGTCTTTAACTTTTCTTCATCTGGTCTACTTCTCCAATATAAATGTACTTATTTTAATTCTCTAAAGATACAGGCTTTATTTATTTTTATTAGATAGGGTCTTACAGTATAACTGGGTCTAGCCTGAAAATCAGATGTGTGACAGAATTCCCAAAACAGCATACTCTACAAATCTGAATATAGAAATCAGTCACACATACACAAACAAAAATTTTAAAAAAATAGTCATTACCTTAAGTGTCTTTCAGCCATTTTAGATTCTTCTGTTGAGAGTTCTCTGTTTAGGTCTGTACTCCATTTTTTATTGCATTATGTGATCTTTTGGCGTGCAATTTCTTGAGATCTTTGTATATTTTGGAGATCAGACCTCTGTCTGATGTGGGGTTATTGAATATCTTTTCCCATTTTGTAGGCTGTCGTTTTGTCTTGTTGACCGTATTATTTACTTTACAGAAGTTTTTCACTTTCAGGAGGTCCCATTTATTGTTTCTCTCAGCGTCTGTGCTGCTGGGGTTATATATAGAAAGTGATTTCCTGTGCCAATGCATTCAAGTGTACTTCCCACTTTCTCATATAAGGTTCAGTTGAGGTCTTTGATCCATTTGGCCTTGAGTTTGATGCATGGTGATAGATAAGGAAATGTTCAACATCCTTAGTCATCAGAGAAATGCAAATCAAAGCAATTCTGAGATTCCATCTTACACCTATAAGAATGGCCAAGATCAAAAACACTGATGACAACTTATTCTGGAGAGGGTGTGGGGAATAGGAAAGTTTATGCATTGCTGGTGGGAATGCAAGCTGGTACAACCCCTTTGGATGTCAGTGTGGTGATTTCTCAGAAAATTAGGAAACAACCTTCCTCAAGACTCAGTAATACCAGTTTTGGGTATACATCTAAAGGATGTTCCATCCTGCCACAAGGACATGTGCTCAACTATGTTCATAGCAGCTTTGTTTGTCATAGACAGAACCTGAAAACAACCTAAATGTCCCTCAAATGGAGAATGGATAAAGAAAAATGTTGTACATTTACATAATGGAGTACTACACAACAGAAAAGAATAATGACGTCTTGAATTTTGCAGTAAAATGGATGGAGCTAGAAAACATTTTTTCGTGTGAGGTTACCCAGACACAGAAAGACAATTATCAAATGAACCCACTCAAAGGTGGTTTTTAAACATAGAGCAAAGAAAGCCAGCCTACAAACCACAGTCCCAGAGAATTTAGACAACAATGAGGACACTAAGAGAGACTTACATAGGTCTAATCTACATGGGAAGTAGAAAGTAGAAAAAGACAAGATCTCCTGAATAAATTAGGAGCATGGGGACTTTGGGGGAGGATTGAAGTGGGGAGAAGAGGCAGGGAGGGGAGCAGAAAAAATGTAAATCTCAATAAATATCAAAAATTTTAAAAACTTTTTAAAAATTAGTCAGTATTTCAATTTCTCTGTAATTTAGAATGGGTATGAAAATTAACCTTTTGTGTTGACATTTGCATCATTAAAATATGACTTTAGTGTTACACTGAGAAATTTATAGAGAACCTTAAAGTCATCTCTGATTTTGACTTGCTTTGCATGATTTCTATATGTAAAAATGAGTGTTTGCCTTTATTAAGATAAAATAAATAAAATATTTGTCTACTAAAGTAATATCCATATTTTTAATGAACATTTGAAGCAATAATAAGTAAAATCGTATGTTAAGAAAATTATTTTTGTCATGTCTATACGTTGTGTATCCCTGATTTTATTTATTTTTTAACAAAATAAAATATAAGATAATAAAAAAACTATCATATCAAAATTGGGTAAGACAAATCACAAGAAGGAATAGACCCCCAAAGAAGGCACAGAAAATGGACCCATTCATTCACATACTCAGGAGTAACATAAAAACACTAAAATGAAAGCTAAACAAATATATGCAGAAGACCTGGTGGAGACCCCTGTGTGTCCTGTGCTTCTTTCTTCAATGTCTATGAGTACTTATGACATTTGCTTTTGATCTAGAGGGCCTTGCTCTCTGGGTGTCCCTTGTCTACTCTGGTTCCCACACACTTTCCACCTCCTCTTCCATTGGATACCCAGAGCTCTAAGTGGAGGGATCTTATGGATATCTCATATTTAGACACACATGTGAAACAGTGTCTGGCTGTTGCTCTCTGTTTGCTCCCATCTGCTGGAGTAGGGAACTTCTTTGATGATGACTAAGTGAGGTACCAATACATGAGTATAGCAGAATATCTTTAAGATTCATTTTTATTGTTATTTTCTTCCTTCCTTCCTTCTTTCCTTCCTTCCTTCCTTCCTTCCTTCCTTCCTTCCTTCCTTCCTTCCTTCCTTCCTTTTTTCCTACCACCCTTCTCTTTCTTTCTATTTCTTTTACTATTTCTTTTTAGACAAGTAATATTTGGTTGTACCCTAGTTCTCTGAGCTATCTACTCTTTGGTTTTTGGTCACCCAAGCAGAGTCAGGTATTAACTCAGTTTCATGTTGTGTCGAGCCTTAAATCAAATTAGATGAAAATTCTCTGATTGTAGTTGATCATATTTTAAATAAAATTTTAGTTTTTTCTTGAATAACATTTCCCCTTTTTTGCCTCCAACTTGTTCCATGACTAAGCCCAAATTCCTGACTCTTTTTGTTCCATTGTTACTGTGATATGTACATATAAATATATGTGCAACCCGGTGAGGCTTGTTAATGTTTCTTGTACATATGCAATTTAAATATGGTGTAAAATTTTCTTTTTAAACTATTTTTCCTATAGAAGAGAATTTAGACCTTTTATAGACTTTGTAAGATTAATATTTCTTCGGAAAGCCCGAAAGAAAATTTTAGAAATTTATTTCTAAATCAAGCACCAAGCACAATGCTGAATATAAAAAGCTTCCACATGTTACACTGTGTTAGGCCCCAGAAGCCAACCATCCTTCTATCACAGCTTGTATAAGCCATTATGAATTCTCTAAGTTTTAGAAGACATATGAAAACACCTATTTTATCATTATTTGTTGGTGGTTTTTCCAATATAAAGGTACTTCTCTTGATTTAATTTTTATTACAGTTTTAATATATTAAATGGGTTTTATACATTTTTCCTTTTCAGTTGACTACTTTTCTTATATGTCATATGTTAAAAATGACTTTTATGCCATTTATCTTTATTAAATTTGGAATATATATTAAATACATTTGATGAAAATGTATTGTGAATAGTAATAACTTTTATTTTCTGTATGCTACAATTATTATCTCCATTTACTGTGTCTCTAATATGCTATGAAAATATATTCTCTTCAACTGTTATTTAGCTTACTTATTTTAAATTGCTTTTCTTTAAGTATTTATTCTAAATTCTATTTGGTTTTTTAAAACCCAATCTTTTTAGTTTCTAATACTATGTGTTCTAGCTTGTTGGTATCTATCAGATTCTGGACTTGCTAGCCTTCATTGATATAGTTTCAGGACTTTTTCTCTAATGGTCATGGTGGTACTTAAATAACTGATGTAAGTGTCTTTCTGATTGCTCTATTATCTTCAGTTCCTGGTGTGTGGATTTGACAACTCCTTGATGTCCAAATTGTGAGCTTGTTCTGAGTGCACATGAGTCCTGATAACTGACCCAATGACTTGACTTGCCCTTTTGGACTGATTTTTTTTTAATTCCAATAGGCCCTCAAATTTTGATTTGACTTCAAGTATCATGGGTGGATGTGATTCTACAGAGAAGATTTCCTATTAAATGGACCTACTACTGCTTTCTGCTCTTGCCTCCCATTAGCCCTTCTTACCCACATGGGTCCTGTCTGCTCTGTTTGTCTTTGTTTGTTTGTTTGATTGTCACTTTTCATGACCATATCTAGATGCTAAGTGCCACTAATTGCAGGTTGATTGCTCCAATGTTTTCAATAATGCCTTAGGAGATAACTACCTCACAGACTAGTCTAATCAAATTGGAGCACTTTGAAGGGATAGTTCCTGAGGTCAAGGCTTTATTTTAGTCCTGACCGCGGGAGTTCTTTCACAGCAGTCTCTAGCAAACTGAGCAGTTCACAACTTAGTTTGTATCTTAAATACACAGATCCATTATCCTGTATCCTTCTTCATCACAACTTTTTTATTTCAAGAACTTTCTGCATTTTAACATCTCCAGATTCTCCTGCAAATGCCTAAAACTTCTGATAAAGTCTATACTTACACTTTCCTACAAACAAGTCGTAAAACAGAGGCATATGAGGTGTATGGCACTGAGTTTTAAAGATGTCTCTTAATTAGTTTTGCATACAGCTAGGTATGAGAAACAACTGGATTCGTTTGATAATGCTGCTAAGTTTCATGCCAAGTTTCAAGGTAAGATCATAATCTTATATTTCTTTATCTTTTTGTAAAATTAATGTAATGTTTTAGAAATTTTGTATGTTTTCAATATTCTACTGATGCTTTTGATGTCAAATTTGTTTATTTATCAGAAACCTATACAGTTTATTTCTGTTATTTATAATTTCAATTAAATTGTAAAAAATCAATTTGTTCATCATGTCAGTCTCCTGGACAGAATCTTGTATAGCTTACACTACCACTGTTTGTCATTTTATAATATATATTCTAATTTTGTGATAAAGCATTACATATCTCTGAAATTTGAATGAAAGCAAGGTTTAATTATTGGGGCTTGATTAGAAAAGTACCTCAAAAGTCTCATATGGTGAAATATTGGCCTTCAGATGATACTTCTAGTACTTCTAGAAATTGAGGCAGTAAAATTCTAAATTAATCATTGAATAAATTCACCGATTCACCTTGTAATTTATTGACATTAATTAAAGGTTATGGAAAATTTCAGAGGCATGACATTTATTTATTTGAGGGAGAAAAGCCACAAGGATGCTGCATCTTCAGTCTCACAAGGGTTCCTGTTCCTTTCCTAATACCGCCTAGTGTGCTTATCAGCAAGCGCTGGCTGACGGATCGCACTAAAATAAAAGAGGAAGTGCCACCTGTCTTTTCTTTGTCCATGAGGCTCACTTGGTTTGGAACAGACTCCAGGAATGATCGCTGGGCAGCACAGCTGTCTATTTATTATCATTCTGAGGATCAGTCAAGGGGCCAGAATATTCTATTCCTCTGGTTGTATACTCACCTAACTTATTGATACTCCATGACTTTTTATTTGACCCCATTCATACTTTATCAGAACGGAAAATTGTTTTTTGTTCAAATTTAAGAGACCTTAAGATTTATAGTCATAAGATTTTTTTTTGCTAA